ATATTGAACTATAGAAATAAGATGAAATCTCTTATGATGCTTGATTTTCAGTACCTATAAAATTATCTTATGACATTGGTTAAGACTGCTTATTTTTTTTGTCATGAACAGAGGAATGCATAGGTATATCACTTCACTCCGTCCTGCTTGACAATAATATTTGTACTACGTAACCAGTTTAAGATTCGTTAGTCAACAGTGAAATGCAGATGTCAGTTGAAACGTAGCCACAGCGTGTATGATGAAATTTATAAAAAGCTTAAATTGTCACCCGTTATGACAAGGCTGTTTTTTCAGAACCGTCGTCATGACATAACTGAAAACTGAAAACTCGCTTGTTCATCCACACTTGAAGTCCTATGCTTTTCCATCTACATGCAGTCGCAACGTTACTCATTTCAGATGACTTTGCAGGTGACAGCTGCAAGCTCTTATTCTCCATCTACTGATAAAGCTGAAATGTTAATATTCAGGAAGGTTCGTTATCTTCGTTGTTATTTTATCTTTTCATGACGTAAACGCAAACACTTTTCGTAAGTGAGGTAAACACGGACGAACAGCGTGACTCACATCGGCATTCGAATTGCGATGTTGTCTGTTTTGAAATTAATCTACATTCTTAAGACTAGTCGTAATATGCTTGTATGTAAAATAAGGCATAATTCGTGTAAGACCACAACTGGTTGTGAATTGGGCCTCCACTTTCCTCACAGTTGCTTTCTGGGTGGTCATTTGTGTGCGCCGAGGTTATTTTGTAGTTTCTTTTTAGATGGTGGAAAAGTTTTTTTCCTGATTTTTGTATTTCTTATTTCAACACAATCCTTGAGAAAGTTTCGGTTGTTGTCATCAACGCTCGACAGTTCTACAGGAGGTTCAGCTAGTTTATTTCCAGCAGCGGTATATTTAAAGGAGTTTTATTTTAATTAATTTCGGCTTACTTAAGTTACTGTAAAGTATGCCACACCCTGCCAGTGAAGAATTACACTACGCTTCCAATCGAGTATCAGTTCTTCGTTAGGACCGTTTATCGATCAGGCTTGATTTGATGCGTTACGTCTGGCCCTTAATTGCTTATTGCTTTAACTTAATCATTCTTTCCAGTTGGCCTGTGTGCTGTTTACATTTGACGGAGCCCACCTATATAAGTACGCATATACTGAGCTGCAAATCATTTCACGTACGTTCCATTTGCGAAATTTGATGCTATGTCTGGAGAGGTTATAGTGATGCGAGCTTTGTTTATGTTCAGTAAGTCATATTCAAACAATTGCAGCATGGTTGTGGTAATGGCTTCGATTTTAGTCACGTGTTTAAGTTGCGCTATTGCGCAGTTGCAGACTGCATCTATTCGTCTCACCGGTTACGATGAAACGTTCTCAGTGCGTAATATTCCACGGAGGTACAAAGATGTATGCACCTTCGACTCGTACATGAAGTACCTATGTGATAAGAGAAACGATCCTACTCAGCGTGGCAACGGTGAAATGCGAAATTCCTTGCAGATATTGGAAGTGACGTATAATTAAATCTTTATCAATCTAATTCATTGCATGAACATCTTTTTTGCTAATTTCCCAGTTTCCTTCGGCGGGTCCGTTAATTTCATATTTTATGTTTGTTAGTCAGTTACAGTTCAGACTTACAGTAGACGTACCTGTAGCATCACTGGCCGATAAAATAGCTAATTATGGATGGCAGCAACAATTTAAATTTTGTATTTTGTGCATGCCAATGATTGGCTGCTATAGAGAACTTCATGTGGAGTGCTACGAGAGCTGATTGACGCTTTAGAAGATTAAGCTTCAAACCCCGTGCATCGCGTTTCAGTGCAACTGGCTGAGAAGCATGTGTCAATTCTTTGACTTGTGAATGGTAAAGATGGTCATTTAGTCACTGAAATTTACTTGACTGAACCCATGAATCAGGCAATAAAGTGGCAAAACCTGGATAATGTAAAAAATAAACAAGTGGGACAAAAAGAGGCAATCATAAGTTAGATAGCCTTGAGATTGTGATGAGTCTTGTCTGAAACAGCCGTCCTAGTAGTACCATTTTCTCCTTGGACTTGCCGTTTACGAGTGTAATGTACAGCCATCATCCATTACAACGAGTAGACCTCTTTTCCTTTTTAACACAACGTTCAATTATGCAACATCATATGTACTTCATTTTTTTTCATATTCTATGCCTCTATCTCTTCTTTTATGATAAAATGTATACCATTGACAAATTGAGTAGTCAGGTAAACTTCTCATTGGCGAAGGTGTTCCGTTCAACTTCAATTACAGCCAGTTTTGCCAGTTCCATTCATTCATTCATTCATTCATCTTCGATTGCTGCTTCTCCTTTCGGGTCGCCGAGGCAGACGCGTCAGACAGCTTCCAACGTTCCCGATCCTGTGTCAGAGTCTGAGCTCCGGCAAAAGACAAATGCAATCCGGAACAGATTCCTTCCATATGATTGCACCAGGTTAATCTTGGCCGTCCCCTGGGCCTTTTGCCGGTCGGAATGTGCAAGGAACAGTTGCTTAGCCTTCCATTCTGGAGACATTCGCAACACATGCCCAAGCCATCGCAGCTGTGACTTCTCGATCTGGAGAACCAAAGGCTCTATACCAAGGCTCTTCCGGGGTCAGATTCTCCCGGACCATGTCGAGACGCGTAAGGCCAGCGACTCGTCTAAAAAAGCCCATTTCAGCAGCTTGTACCCGGGTTCTAAATTTTTCAGTGATAATCCACGATTCATGACCGTAGGTAAGTATGGGGATAAAGATCGACATCAATATTCAGAACTTAGTTTTCAGACTGAGCTCTGCTTTAGTCACAATGGGTCGGGCTAGC